GTTATTGCTTCAAGAACTGAGTATTCTGGAATCTCTGATACTCTGATACTTGTACTTTTCTGCTTATGTGAGATGAGATTGTTGATTTATTCGAATTTTGGTGTTGCATGATTTTAAAGGACAATAAATTGAATTCATTCCATCTAAATAAGCTCGCAAGCAGTTGTGAATTTAGTTTGACAAGAGCTTTGCATGCACACAAGGTGTATATACATTCACATGTGACTGTCAAATTCATGCGACTGACCAACTATTGATCCTGACTGACCTTTGTCTTAAGCCTATGATCCTGGAATACGTGTGCTCCAAACGCACTGTATATGTGTATTGTTTTTACAAAAGTGTCTTGACAACATCGAAATAAACGATAATGTCTCAGACAAACTGCCATAAAATACAGGTTTTGAAATAACATTCTTTGCAAAGATGTCATTCCATTTGTCAAGTGAGTGAGTAGTTTTACGCCGCACTCCAGCAATATTCCAGCTAAATGGCGGCGGTCTGTATATAATCGAGTCTAGACCAGACAATCCAGTGATCAACAGCAGGAGCATCGATCTGCGCAACTGGCATACGATGACGTGGGTCAACCAAGTCAGCGAGCCTGACCACCCGATCCCGTTAGTCCAAGACCAATTCTAACCCGTATCTTCACGGGTCCTTTTGTCAAGAACAAAAATATTGACTGAAGCAAACAACGGAAAGCCTTAATGTGAATGACGTAGCTGTATGTATACTCTAGACATCGTTTCTGTACAAATTACCAACATTGCGTAGATCTATGTTCATGCTGTTGACCACTGGATTGTCTGGCCCAGTCTCGATTATTTAAAGATTGTCGACATACAGCTGGAATATCGTTGAATGTGGCCTTAAACAACACACAAACTTTTAAAAGATTACCAACAGATCAGTCTTGTGGCAGCTGATTCTGGAAAGACTCGTTTCCGCGGAATAAAACTCAACGTACAATTGCGCTGGCAGGAGTGAAAGCATCCCACAATGCATTGGGGCTAAACGGTAGCGGTAGTATGACGACGTAAAAGACCGACGTTAACAGCATTGCACCGTACAAGTGTCATAACAGAATTCTACCGTTGCATTTTCACGTAATGCTACTGTATATTCAATCTAAAGCACGGTTTTTCAGTGTTGTCATGAACTGGCGCCTCTAGACGGTTTTGGTATATTCTCAACAACGTTAATTTCGAGTTTCCATAGTAAGTTTCATATATTTTTCACTACTAGTAATTACCATTGCGGCAATATCGTTGACTTTGTCCTCTTGCTTGTCTGAACAGACTCTGGGGGGAACTAGGAAGCAGCAGGACCATTGCTGTGTTCTAAACAAACAAAGATAATTTACTGTTATTGATCCTTGTCATGAGTATTTATGGTCTCTGTGAATTGTTATCATTGAATAGGAAAACAAAATAGGCTTTTACTTGCGCACGGCATGATATAAGGCGTCGGTCGTTTGACAGAAATAGTGTAGCCTGAATAAAAACAGAAATTGTTTTGGTACCAAGAACGTTTTTTTGGCCCTTCTCAAACAGACTGATGTCAGTATTAACACTGAAGGTATTCGGTATCCAAAAGAAATTCCATGGTTTCAAGAATTTATTTGCCTATCAACAGCAGTAGTAATCAATGTTTTGAAATGGCCTCAGCGGAATCAAGTGGCACTGTACAAGTGGCTTGGCGGAGTTTAACTCCACTTTTAAGCATGTTTAATAAAATCATATCAGCGAGAGAATCTGTATTTAATCATAATGTAATTATTGCTGCATTCCTACCACGCTAAGGCCTAAAAAAAATGTTGTGGTTCCGATTACCCGACCGACCCTTGAATTCTGGTGCCAACCCTATTTGTTTCAAATGGTATGAATAAAATAAGCTTTCAGATAACACTTCTTCCCCCGGCACCAACAGACATCTGTCATTCTGATAGAGAAAGTCGACATGATGGCTGCAAGCTTGATTAAATAAACAATTACACATTGAAAATTGTGTTATTAGTTTATACTTTACGTCTAAAAAAAAATATTAATTTTTTTTTACCAACTTACCTACCCTAAATTTTAAAGAGGTGTAATCGGAACCACAACATTTTTTTTGTTTGGCCTTACAGCGGATAACCATATAACCGAAATAATGCATAAAGCGGCATAAAACTTAACTCACTCATTTGTCCACTCACCTTAACTGAAGTCCTGACAAAACATTTGAGGAACGTGTTCCCCCTCTCTGACATAAAGTAGTGCGACAGCAACAACTCGTAGCTGTATTTATCTTTTCCTGGAGACCAAGTTGTCAGGGTTCATATCGCAGGGTAGAATCCCAGTGCGTCATAGTCAGGTGTCAAGCACTTACGTTAACGTGGGCGCTGACTGATAAGTGGCCAGACACGAAATGAAAAAAAGGTCCATGTAGTTTAGTATGGAGTAGTGTAAGGGACGTTCTCGCAATGTCGACGTTTGTTTTGTTGGAATTTTGGGGTATTTGATTTGTTTTATTTGGTTATCTGGTTGTTTGTTTGTTTTAACACTGCATCTTCAAGCATGATTGTGTTATATGGTGACTATGGTGTGCAGACCATGCATGTAGCATGGCCACAAGACTAATAACGTGCGCATGCGTCTTAGCCGTATGGTATTACGCATGCGCACAAACACCATCCACTTAGCGAGAAGATTAGATGTCACGCTCTCGCGATTTCGTGGTTTTGTTTTCTGATCTGACAACAGGGGCGGAAACAGCTTTTGAGGGGAGGGGTGCACACTTCATTTCCAATGGTCATTACAAACTTTCAGCACAAAAGGGAGGGGGTGCGCATCCCAGTGAGTCAGCACACACACACACACACACACACACACACACACACACACACACACACACACACACACACCTCTGGATCCGCCTATGTGACAAGTCGAGATTGCGAAATGTTTTGTCATGTCCAAATGTCATCTTTTGGAAAAATATAATATGACAGAAAACACCACATTTTGGACCAATCTCGCGATTCACATTCGCACTTTTGCTATATCTAGCTCGTTTATGAAAAGGCGGAGAATGTGATCGCGGGAATGTACCTGACAGTTTTCCATAGTTAAATGTGTCCTCGCTTTAAGCTCAGATCAAACTAAAGAGATTATATATGTAGGGCACAAACTGAAAAAAAACCGAATACGTCGATGAAAACACTTTAAACTTGGACAGTAAGGGGAATTTTTATTTTTACAGGCCTCATGATATATACTATGGATTGTGTTAATGCTGTTGAAAGAAAGTGATCATGGAAAGTTATTTGTTTTGTTTTACTCTGAAACACAGTGTGTCAATGTCGGTATACAGTTAATGCGCCAAATTACAAGAATAGTTGAACTCAACCAAGAAATGTTTTGGTGGAGTCGAAAATTCCTCTTTACAAAATCAATTTCCCTTGACAGAATTATAGTTTTGCATTACGCAAGGACACGCAATCTTCCCGTGGTAGAATTCACTGAAACAGAAGGATTAAGGTCAGTTTGATGTTTGATGATTGTTGTTTTACGCCGCACTCAGCAATATTCCAGCTATATGGCGGCGGTCTGTAAATAATCGAGTCTGGACCAGAAAATCCAGTGATCAACAGCACAAGCATCGATCTACGCAGTTGGGATGCGATGACATGTGTCCACCAAGTCAGCGAGCCTGACTACCCGATCCCGTTAGTCGCCTTTTACAAGTATGGGAGCTGAAAACCAATTCTAACCCGGATCTTCACGGGTATGAAATAGGAGGAAAATACATTTTCCGTAGTGCGAGGGAAACTTGACTTGACACTCATGAAGGTGTGCCGGTGCACATCCTGCATTGAACCCAGGCTTCTCACATGCCGTATCCGGACCTCCTACCGGGTACCCATATAACTGCATGATGAAGACAGGCGCGTCTATTTTGGTTACAGTTAAACTCTACATTGTAATTCAACCTGATCCAAAATGTCTGTCAAAACACCTGCATTTCTTTCATTCCCGCATCTAGTATATGTTTTGGGGTAAATACACATACACGTTGATTGAAACTGAGTGTTTCTATGCGTGCGAATACTGTACTGTCGCCTACTTAGCGCTATGAGCATACCTAGTGTGGAGTTTGGCGCTATATAAATGGACACATTATTATTTTTTTTTACATATTTACACATCTGATTTGGGCTTATTAAGTTGATTCGTGGAACGTCAACTACAAACAACAGGAGACGCGAGTCCTGTTGTCAACAGAAGTGACTGTCGTGACCTCGGAAGGTCAGCCTGACACTGGGGCGCGTATCATAATCAAATTGGTTAATTATTTCACTATTAACAACTGCAATGTCGGATTCCCAATTTAATGGAATTTAACATATTTAATCTCAATCAGTGCATTATATAGATGCATTTAATATCATCTTTGTAATTATGCTCTATTAAGAAACGATACGTAGGCGGAGATATCCATAAGCGTCCCTACTTCCTGGTTCGAGAGACGGATTGAAAACAAAGCCAACGTGAGCACTTGTACCCTACACTGTGATCATCATAGTAGCAGCCAATCGATCTCTTACACAACACAGGGCTCTCCCAAGCACAGGCAGGTCACAACTGTATGAACATATGAACCCGGATTTAAATATTTCTGAACATGTTATACCGTTTAATACCGAAAGTAAGTTTAAAATAGAAAATGTTAACAATCGGACGAGAGTATCATCGTGTAACGAATAAATGTTGATATTGGGTTTCATGTCTGTGTTCATTAACGCGAACATGCGGAAAGAATGTTTGCGGTTGTGACAAGTCGTCGCGCTGGTTAAAGGGAGCTAACTCTTGGAGCCTTCGTCTGGTTTGTAACCGTTGTCTGTGTATGCAACCTCCAATCATGATTCCTTTCTCTCCTCGGGCAAAGTGATAAAGGTTCAAAGCGGGCTACAAATCCTTCACGTTACATTTGGCTCACTTGAAGGGAAACGGGGTTCAGTGGCAGTCCTGAGTTGTGCCAGATCCACTTAATTACTACTGGCTACCAAAGTAAATCTCGTAACATGTACCAATATAGGAATCGAACCCATGAATAGAAATCGTTCGAGGTTGTGTGTTCACCACTGAGCCACCGTTAGACGTCCTGTGTCGTTTGCCTGATGAAGGTCGTATACCGCATATACGGTATTTTTCTGACTCACTGTTTCAAGGTCTGAAAAAAGACGTTTCTTCGAGAATTTCAGAATATATGAAATAACTCAGTAGTCTTAAATATTATATTTCCAATCTTTTGGTTTAAAGCTGATTGCAAATATGAAACAGGTTCGAAACTGGGACACTGAGAAGTGGTGTCTGAGATTTGTTCTGGCTAAAACCAACATATATCTCATTATACACCGATTTCAAAAGGACAAGACACGCCATGAATGTAATACTTAGCCATATATACATGATGTTCAGAGCTCGTTTTCATTAATTGGACTTTGCTTCAAAACGTTGATATCAGTCCTTTGAAGCCGATAAGCTGTATTGCTAACAATCGTATGACGTCATAATATGACGCATGCAGTGCACGGAGTTCGAAAACCGTTCGAGTAGCTGTGTTTAAGTTTACTATGTGCACATTCATTTTACCGACTTTCACTGCTTTATTTAAACTATTTTGTACATTGCATCGTTTGCACACTCAACTTAAACATAATTAACCATTTTACAGTAGTTTTAAGCTTGTCAGAACATGTTTCACTGATTTAAAAAATTCCAGTCGAGAGGTAGACGCAATTTTGTTAACATGTCATATAGTCGGTAGCGAACGTAGCTATCTTCAAAATAAAATAAAATAAAATGATATCTTGTACATTTCACATGGCGGTGAGATAAATACGTTGTAAACCTCTCCATCGGATAATACGGTCTGATGTACGCCATTTTGTAGCAGTGTCATCCCGCGCCTACCGACTCTATGACACCGCTACAAAAAGGCGTACATCAGACCGTATTACCCTCGAGAGAAGCATACTTATAATGGAGAACTGAAAACTGTGTATTTGTATTCATGACGCATTTTGAGTTTTATTCCACTTCCAACGTGAGAGACCCGTGAAGGTCCGGGTTAGAATATTGGTCTTCAGTAACCCATGCTTGTCGTAAGAGGCAACTAACGGGATCGGGTGGTCAGGCTTGCTGACTTGGTTGACACATGTCATGGGTTCCCAATTGCGCAGATCGATGCTCATGTTGTTGATCACTGGATTGTCTGGTCCTGACTCGATTATTTACAGACTGCCGCCATACAGCTGGAATATTGCTGAGTGTGGCGTAAAACTAAACTTACTCACTCACTCCAACGTGAGAGTGGGAGAGTAGGGATATAGGCGTCACTTTCGCATCCAGTTCAATAAATACTTGTCCCTGTTGTTGTCCCTGTTGTTGTTGGTGGTGTTCTTGTGCGTAAGGGCTGCTTAATCAGATTGATGGTCGGTTTGTTGTTTAACTCCACTCAGCAATATTCCAGCTATATCGCAGCGGTCTGTAAATAATCGAGTCTGGGCCAGACAATCCAGTGATCAACAGCATGAGCATCGATCTGCGCAATTGGGAACCGATGACATGCGTCAACCAAGTCAGCGAGCCTGACCACCCGATCCCGTTAGTTGCCTCTTACGACATCCATGGGTTGCCGTTGGCTCGTCACGCCGAAGACCCGGGTTCGAATCACATCCATTGGTTGCTGAAGACCAATTCCAACCCGTATCTTCACGGGTCGCTTAATCAGGACTTGATCAGGCACACGATCAACAGACATATAACTGATCTTCAAACCACTATTGCGATAGCTAATAGACGCTTAACTTGTTCGTTCAAATGCAATTTTTTCATTTATATATTATATATTTCAGATGATGACTGAGACAAATGATCAGACACATTTGCTTCCTGTTCGAGAAATCTTCAAAGATACTTTTAAGAAAATATACTCTGGATTAAACGATCTCAAGGACTATATTCCGAATGACGCCATCAGGTCTTACACGGAAGTGACGTCACAGCTGAAGGCGCTGGAGGAACATGTGAAAGATCTGGTGGTTCAAAGAGGGTCGTCAGTATCCGGTACACATTATCGTATTGTATATCTTTGACATACATGTATATGGCATTTTCCATCCCTTGAATGAGTGAATGATTATACTTTTGGTCGCCTTCAGAAATAGTTCAGAAACATCAAAGTGAGAGACACCTGCTTTGACGCATTGGATTCGTGCGAGTGAGTAATACAAGTGAGTGAGTGAGTTAGTTTTACGCCGCCCTCGGCAATATTCCAGCTATATTGAGGCGGTGTGTAAATAATCGTGTCTAGACCCGACAATCCAATGGTCAACATCATGAGCATCGATCTACGCAAATGGGATACGATGACATGTGTCAACCATGTCAGCGAGTGCAGCGTTTAACAACAGAGTATTGCATGGTTGTTATAAAAATCGTGCGGTTGAATGTTAAAATATTTGGTGTTTTCTTTTTCTACAGAAATATCTCTTGTGAACCAAGCAGATCTCCCTGAGGAGAAATGGGAGCCCCTGGGTCAAGGTTCATTCGGGGCGGTGTTCAAAGTCCGCTACCAGGGAAGTGATTCAGCCATCAAAATATTCACAACGGACGCGAGTTCCAAACTGAGGGAGAAGGATGCAGAAACTAATCTTCTCAGGTACGTCTTTGTAAATTAATGAAACCATGTTGATGTTAGTGTCATAATGATAATGATGATTATGAAATAGGACAGATATAAAGTTCAGACTAGCGTTGGATCTGGAGAAGTTGACTTTGTCTTATCAACAGATTAGTGTATCTTCCATTGCATTCTCATCTCCATGAGGAGTATGGATTCCATGCTGCAGGATAAGTACCTGACATGACCAGAGGGTGGTAGGGTAGCCTAGTGGTTAAAGCCTTCGGTAGTCACGCCGAGGACCCGGTACAATGTGTGGAGCCAATTGCTGGGGTCCTCCACTGGAATATTGCTTAGAGCGGCGTAAAAATAAACTTACTCACTCACAAAACATTACCTTCTTCTTACAATCCTACTGAATGCTCCGTTAAGTGTTTGTTAAATGCTGAAGGTTTACACACGGCCTCAGTGGTGAATGATGGGGAGGACCGGTGAAGATTCGGAATAGAATTTATCTTCAGCATCTCCTGCTTGTCCTGAGAGACTCAGGTCGCGGTTTTGTTTGATGCCTGTTTCCGTATCCCAACTTCGTAAATCGATGATGATGATGATGATGTGAATCACTGGATTGTCTTGACCAGATTCGATGATATATATAACAAACAAGCGAATGATTAAAAGGACTATTTTACCCATTTTACAAAAGTAAAAGTATGATATTCAGTGATCTAGCCACATAATTTTCACTGATAGTTTTCCTTTTACACCAAACGGAATTTGTTTCACAGGATTGTCAGCACCGGGTTTTCTTTTGGACTGATGTTCTATATTTAGTACAATTACAACTGTTTGTTTTAGAGGCCTCAGTCACGACAACATCATCGCCTACAGGGGCACCGGATACGTTACTACGGAGAGACTGAAGGAACTCACTCAGAACGACCTTGAACTTGAGGACTGCGAAGACTCCATGCGGTTCATCATTATGGAGTACATTGAGAGGAACCTTGACACATATGTTGCGCGGAGCAAAACACCCGATGCACCGGTTTGTTTGTTTGTTTGTTTGCTTGTTTGTGTGTTTGTTTGTGTATATATAAATGCAGCAGTTTAAACTTCGGCTTTCTGATAATCTTAAACAATCATAGTCTGCCACTATTCAGAACCTTTCAGATTCATTTGCTTACAAACACTTTAAATCATTACTGCATGTATAAAGGTACTTATCAGTATCTATCTCTCCTTATCTAAAATCTCTTCTAGCAAAGTTCAGCTGGTGTGGCAATTTTGGGTTGGGTTAGGTATAGAGGTGAGAAGATATAATAACATATCAATGGCTGACAGAGTCTGTTTTTACTGTAAACTATATAATATTTACTGTATTGAAGATGAAATACTTGTCCTCTTTGATTGTAAATTATATAATGATGCTAGAAATAGGTTTATTACTCCATTTTTGTATAATACTGCCAGCAAACAAAACTACATATACTTAACAGTAAAGATAAAATTATTATCATAAATGTTTGTAACTTTTTTATATGTATACATAAAACGAGAGCTGCAACTGTCAAAACGTACACCTGTCACTTTTACGTGCGCTTATTTCAACTCTATAATTTATTTGTATTATGGGCCTTTGGTCTTTATACTGAATGAAATATATGTCTGTATATATAACGGCGACTGTTAATATCGAGGCTGGACAAACCAGTGATTAATAATATGAGCAATTCACGGCGTCGGGTACGATGGCACACAATGATCCAAGTCACCGAGCTTGACCGTCATGTCCGCTGAGTCGCCTCTAACAACAATCACAGATTGCTGAGGACAGATCCACACAGGGTTGTGCCAAGCCATTATTTGGGTAAAATCAGGAATTCAGACCTACAGAGGTTCACTCCCAAAAGACAGACCTCCCATAAGACAGACTCAATGAGTACACTAATTAGCTGAGCCATGCTGTCCACCCTATGTAATTAATGAGCTCACCCAGAGTCACTAACAACACATTCCTATCTCTCCCAGTTTACAAGTGAATACATTGTGAATATTATAGTCTTTAATACCACAAACTAAAGCTATAATTACCATTTATCTTATCATAACACATATCATTGCAAAGACTCTGTGACAAATCACAAAGACTCTGTCACAAATCATAAAGTTTCTGTCGGAAAAATCACAAAGACTCCACTCTCACTGTAACCAAGTTCCCTACCAGTGCCACTGATGATGTTGAAGTGAATTTCTAATAAGTGTTATCCTTTTGGGTCATTGACTTATGTACTCGGTTCATCTCATTTGGGTATCCTAATTTTCATTTGAGTAACCAAAACATTTGTACCCACCTCACTCAAACTCACTTGGGTATTTTGCCATTTCCCATTAATTGTAAACATTGTAAAGATTAAATGTTATTCACATTGGATCTGTAATATGAGAAACGATAAGAAAGACTGCAATTTGCCAAGTTCATGTGTTGAAGTAGAACCTCTTAATATACCTCAGTTATTATATATGTGCACCGCAACGCAAGCTAAGTTTCGACCTTTTGTGTGTACGTATGTAAGATCAAATTTATTGAGTATTAACAAAAGTTAAGCGTACTTGTACGCAATTGACTTAATGGGAATTGAGTTTTCACATAAATATTTGCGTAATTTACGCAGATACGCAGCTTATCTGTACCTCTGATTCTGAATCATTAATGAAGCACGATACACTGTCTTTGTCGAAACTTCCTACTGATATATATGTCTGACAAATCCATTGCTAATCTCGACCGAGCCCTTACACCAATAAAAGTAATGAATATTCACGATGTATATTTCAGGGCTTGACCGTTCAGGAGACATGGATAATTGGTCAGAAAATCGCCAGTGCCCTGAACTATCTCCATGGTAACGGAATCGTTCACAGAGATCTGAAGCCAGACAACATCCTGGTGAGTACTGCTGAGTGGGATGTGCAGCCATGTCGCAGTTACCTCCCCTTAGTTTGAAGCCACCGTCTCAAAGTCCGATGTTTGCTCTGGTTGGATACCTGGCTGTACCAAACATCAGTGAACATTGAGCGAATGTTGTTGGGTCTGAAGGAATGGTGCGTGGGTTAGTTAGTTTGTTGTTTAATGTCACACCCACAACATTACAGCTATATGAAGGTCTGTCATTACTTTGTGTGAATTGCGTTGGTTAACAATAAGATTATTGCTCGTATTAATTGGCAGTAGTGTTGGAAATTGTTTAAAATCTCATAATTGATGATTGGTTCATTACCACCGATCAATCATCGAAAATAATTGGTTAGCGCCATTTTTGAAATTTGTTAATACACACAAATATATTGCATGTTCTTTGGGGTTTTTGGCAAAATCACATCTTTAAAGGAGTATGTTAGGAACTGCAAGAGTCTTTAAGATAAATCAATCATGACTTGGAACGAGCTTGTAGTGCTTATGAAATGTAACAGACAAAACCAACCTAGTGAAAAATACTGTTAATGAAAACAAGTGTTCCAGAAGGTTTCTGAGAAAACATGATAGATTGCTTGGTCGTTTAGTCCAATTGGGAGTAGGGCTGGATAACATCATATATTGTGATTCACTGATAGTACATCTCTCTGTGTGCGACATCGTCTTCTTAGTTGCTGTTACACCATATTTGCAGGCCCCCTGTCCCCATTGTGTATGGCTGTATGCCAGTGGTGTACAGATAAATGATATAGAGCCTTAATGTGGAACAAGGTTTTACGAACATAATGATAAAGGTAATAGTATAACATTATTTTCATGGTCAGTGTGCTGTTTGCTTCAACAGAATGCACTTCAATGCAGTATGTAATTATTGTTACTGTTTGTCGGTGATTCATTCAGATTCAACTCCAATATAAACATGTGTTAACATGAACTGTTGTAAAATGAAACAAAAACATGATTTAGGTGAACTACTTGAGCTTAAAATCTCATGTGACCTCCAGTAACTAAGATTCGTGACTAGAATTTCATTAAACAGTCCTACAAAGATTTATAAGACTATTATAAATTGATAACATATGTCCCATTATGAAACAAAATAGAAATAATAAAATAATGTGAATTGTGAAATGGTCACTCAGAGCCAGTAGCTCTACTTATAAGTCCAAATAAAAGATTGGTCAAATCTTTGAAGGGCATTTAGAAGTGGAATGCATAAGAAAAGCAAGAGTTATGGATGTCAACATCTTTATTGTGAATATTCATGACCTGATGAAGGAGCAAGCATACACTCCAATACGTTGTGTTATTCACAACAAGAAGTTGATATCCATTACTCTTGCTTTTCTTAAAAGATTGGTCCATTTGAGGCCACTTAATTCCTGCAAAACGTCACATATGAAACCATTCAAACCCACAAACTTAAATCATTTGATAGAATATTTGGTACTTTTGGAGCCACTTATAAAGACACTTCCACTTGTACAATGTTACATGAAACAAAAAAGAAACAAAAGTATATTTGGCACTTTTAGAGCACATTTTGTTGCTATGGAAATCAAGGGCAGATAATTCACTACGGATGACCCAATATATTGCAAAATCTGAACCATATCGAGATAATCGTATCGCGAGAAACTGTACCGGTATATATCGGTTTACCGGTAATATTGCACATCCCTAATTGGCAGGAGATTATATCTTGTTGATGATGGGGACAGGTTAGATATAACTCCTCTGGGATATTGCACAATTGACCATTTCCATTAAGGCGTTTACTGTGTTTATATACTCTAGATAAGATTTAAATTCGAAGACTAACGCTTAGTCTTAATTTTGACAAAAAACAATTTTAATTGAAAAGGAGCCCAGTGAGATGGGGGATTCAGAACCTGAGGAAATCTAGACTTGCTTCATTTAGGGCTTTACCACTTCAGAAAGGACGGATGGAAACATAACGCGATTCAGGTACTGAGAGTAACTATTAAATTTGTAACACCACTCTGTATACAGGTAGTAATCTTCTCTAAATATCTTGATTGTGGCACTTTGTTGTTGGTTTTTCTATTAAGCTATTTTATCCATGAGGACTTGAATTTTTAATGTCATTTAAATTATTTTTTTTATTCCGATTTTGCTAGTTTCGAAATTTAGTTGCATTTGTTCCCAGGAATGGGCGAGTGTCTACGTGGCCATGGCATACTGAATAAATTAATAGTTTAGTATTGATTTAAGGTGAATTGTGTAAACGATAAAATTTGTCGGGTGTTTTAATGGAATTTAAAAACTCTAAAATAATGAGACAGTTCTCTTTATTGAAGACTTTTGGCTTGAGGGAAGTCAGTGGATATGGCCTGCAGACACTCTGCAGAGATATTATAAGGTCTTTAAATGGCATGTAGAAATGATATACATAAGGAAGAGAGTTTTATGGATGTCAATTTCTTTATTATGAGGAACACAACGTTTCGGAGTATTAGGTGAATGAATGGTATGAGGCAGAGAGCATATATATATACATGTAAGAACAACAAAAGTAATAATACAACAAAGACGCAGGCTAAACAATGGAACAAATGGAAGCCAGCACTGTCAGTACATTAGCGCTGAATGGACGCCAAGACTTAACAGTTAATTAGCGTTGAATAGAAGCCATCACGTAAAAGTTGAATAGTGTTGATAGGTGATGAACAGTAGACAGTTAAAGCCGGGATTAACTTAGCAGGAATAGCACTAATAGATAAACACAATGGAGATGACAAATACAGGCCAGAACAAACAGATAGAAATCAGAGCAAAATAATTAGCAATAAGTACAGTACAATAAGTACAATCAAACAATGATCAAAGCAATAATTCCCAGGCGCTGGGCAGGTCGCGGTTCATGGCTAACTGGTGTCTCCTGATGACAATAGCTTCTTGTAGTTTTCTTTGTGGCAAGTTGTTGTTGGTAGACAGAACTTTGGTGGCTTCCCACATGATGTGATAATCATGTATGTTATTTATGTAGTTAAAGCAGTGGAAATAAGTGTTTGTAGATTTGGGCTTTGTGAATTTTCATGATTTGTAATGTGGGATAAATATAGATTTCGTGACTTTGAGAAATATAGAGATGGGTGGTAGGCTCATTTGAGTGTTTCCCTGGTTTGAGGACTGTTACCAATGTAGCTTCTCTTGAAGATTTTGGGATATTTTGAGGAATCTATGTATGATTAAATAGTTCGAGTGGTATATTTTTTAGTTATTTTTCTGGAGTGGTATATAATTAAGGTTTAGTATGATATTGCTAATGTTTTCCAACCCTTTGGCTCATTAAACGTTTTCCACAAGGTGATAGTGTTACTATTTCGGATGCTACAGAAAATATGCCAATGCTTCTCTTTTGCTGCCGTAATAGTTTCTAAATATAATGTGTCTGAGTGGGGTATTCATGCTTCACTACGGCATGGTACCTCAGTGGGCTAGCACTATAAAACCAGCTTAAGTCTGGACTAGTACAAGCAGCCGCACATACACATATACACGAATGCACGTCGTCATATGAGCGAAATATTCTCAAGCACGACGTAAAACCCAATTTCACCTCACCTCTTAATTTTATTTACCCGTGAAGATCAGGGTTAGAATTAGTCTTCAGCTACCCATGCTTGTCATAAGGGGCGACTATCAGGATCGGGGGGCCAGGCTTGCCGACTTTGTTAACTCATGACATCGTATCCCAATTGCGTAGAACGATGCTCATGCTGTTGATCACTGGATTGTGTTGTCCAGACTCGATTATTTACAGACGCCTCCATATAGCTGTAATATTGCTGAGTGCGGCGTAAAACTAAACTCACTCTTAATTGTATTTTATGTACTTTATCATCTATAGTGCGGTCATTATTATTGAATCTGCACCAGTATTGTCTGTGTACATCTCAATTCAGTGGGGCGATGGGTTAGCATGGTGGTTAAAGCGTTCGCTCGTCACGTCAATGACCCGGGTTCGATTCTCAACGTCTGTACAATGTGTGAAGCCCGGTGTCCCCCGTCGTGATATTGCCGGAATATTGCTAAAAGCGGCGTAAAACCATACTCACTCACTGAAAGCCGCAACAATATTATTCTGGTTAACGGTGCACACAATTTTCATTTTCACTCCCTGGGGAGTATACAAACCAAGCTGCCTGTAATACCATCTGATCCTTCCTTGTTAATACATTAACCATTACAATATCTTGCTGGAACCAGGGCTCGAACAAGGTTAGAACCAGTTAGTGTCTGGCTATCAACATACACATATTAAGCACATCCTTAATGTTAGATATTTCTGTAATAATAACTCACTCACACTCAATTCAGATATGCTTCGTTGAATGTCGTGATGGCCTCCTGCAGATCGACGGATTAGAAAGTATTTACAATTTGGCCCGTCTTCACAAACACAGGTCTTGAATAGGATTTCTTTGCATGAATATTTTAACTGTGATTAATCACAGCGGGGTAGTGTAAGACAAGTTCTCACCTTTCCCTAATAAACAGCAGAATATTGACTCCCGGCTAACCGACCGCCCACATTCTACGATCTATACCGGATTCTTACCGATATTAACCTTGAAATACCGGGACATATCGCAATACAGATGTTAATATAACACTAGCTGATAGAGTATTAATGAATAACTGGATAATTGATTTTACTATTTGCGTCTCGTTTCATTGTGCTTCGGCAATGAATTTAATTCGCCCAACTCATTTGCGATTATGAAGCGGATAAATATAGTCGTCCGCTCGTTATATGAAAGTCAGTATCAAAAACAATCAGGGGAAATAGTCAGCCAACAAGCAAATACCGTCTTTCCTTCAATAATTGATATCAACCCAGATAAAAATAAAAGAGAACATTGATCGGATCTCAAGTTGTAAATCATTGGGATGTGCGTATTTTTGTCTTATAGTTCCCATTTCATTCCGACGTGAAATATTAAAAAGGTTTTCTTGTCTGAAATTTCTCCGTTGCTGTACAAATTTGTCCTGATGTGATAAGATGATATTTTTACCGTAGCACACTTACGTAACAAAGCCCACATGAATAATGAAAAATCTTTATGGATAACGACTTGTTTTATTTCGTGAGTGCGACGTTTCGATACAGAAGCTTGTACCGTTCCTGCTTGAAAACGGTACAAGAAAACGTCGCACTCACGAAATAAAAGAAGTTGTTATCCATAAAGTATGTTCAATATTGTACTTCTCAACTTCCAAAATGCTGGAAGAAGAAACCCCACATCGGTTTGATTTTGTGTCATCTACACTTATTGAAAAAGTGCTTCCGAAACAAAAACGACTTGGTCTACTTCATTGATTATTTTTAAGAATATTACCGTGACCTAATTTTAAAATATGATCAAATACGTTGCTCAATAAGTTAGCACATTTCCCCGCCCGCTCTCTTGCTGTTTGAGGTGGGAGATGAGAAAAACTAAGTAAATGGGGAGGCCGTACGCGTCTCGGTGAGGTCACTCTATTCTTCTTGCAGTAGACCCGTGAAGATCCGGGTTAGAATTGGTCTTCAGTAACCCATTCTTGTTGTAAGAGGCGACTAACGGGATCGGGTGGTCAGGCTCCCTGACTTGGTTGACAAATGTCATCGTATCCCAATTGCTTAGATCGATGCTCATGATGTTGATCACTGGATTGTCTGGTCCAGACTTTATTATTTACAGACCGCCGTCATTTAGATGGGATATTGCTGAGTACGGCCTGAAACAACAGACCAATTAACCAACCAATCTTGCTATTCCCTGAACGCTTAGATAAGCTGCCGTCACCATATGGTATTGTGCCAAACAATAGACAAACTGCACATCAACTATACTAATGGTTCAGTAAAGAAGAAATCACTGGGATTGACATGTTTTTACAATTTCTCCTTTACTTAGCACACCCGGTGTCTAGTAGTGATGTAAATTCATCAACCCCCATTCGAATACACAAACGGAATATTATCTAACCAACATCACCTTGAATCCGATACATGCAAGATAATTTTACGAAACTGTGACGCAGGGCATCTATTGGAGAAAATACGGTACAACTTTCTGTGTTATACAACTTGCATATTACTTACACGTCATTGACTTTAATTCAAGTACGACTCTGGAAAAAGGATCGTAAAGGTCGCTGACTTTGGCTTGGCTTGGAGAAACGACTTCGTCAACACAAAGTACGTGTTCGGATCCACCGGCTCTCAGCGGGGCTTGAGTCTCAGCTCAAAAATGGCCACGACAGGATCTACGGTAATAAAATGACTTCCACTCTGATACGTCCTTTCAAAGTGTATGTATCGGCCCAAACTACGCTCTGGCGAGTCAGTCTGATGCAGAGTTGCGTCCCTTAGATATGCTTTGGTTATTAGTGTCGCTTATCACCAATATAGTAATGCTCGTAGGTTTCTCGTCCAAGACCAGGATGACCTTGTGCCTTGATTTGTCATTAAGCTAACAGTCCGTTAAATTATGTTAAAGATATGTAAAGCCCACGCCCCACACTCACTCACTCGAATGGGACCCGTGAAGATTCGGAATAGAATTGATCTTCAGTAACCCGCGCTTGCCTAAGAGGCGACTTACAGGTTCGGGTGGTCAGGCTCGCTGACTTGGTTCATTCACGCTGTTGATCACTGGATTGTCTTGTCCAGACTCGATTATTTACAGACAGCCGTCATATAGCTGGAACACAGTTGAGCCGGCGAACCAAATTTGGAAAACCATCTGTACGAATACGTCTGTTCAAATTTAAATATTCATGAATTTCAGCGAACCTACAAGCATGTACGATGGGGCCCACCTGAACTGTTTGACGAGGACTCAATAAAAGGTACAACAAGCTTATCTTATACTAATCATCATTACAGAATCTGTTCACTTGGAGGACAGGTCCTTTGCATTACTTTCAATGTGATGGGCGTTTTTGTAGTCCAGTGATTAAAGCGTTCACTCGTCACGCCGAAGACCCAGGTTCGATTCCCCACATGGGTATAATGTGTGAAGACCATTACCGGTGTCCACCGCCATGATATTGTTGGAATGTTTTTTAAAACATACTCAGTTCCATGTGGTAATAGTGAGTGCGTGAGTTCAGTTTTAACCCTTTTAGCAATATCCCATCGATATCACAACCGGAAACGCCAGAAATAGGCTGCATTGTACCCATGTAGGGAATCGAACCCGAGTCTGGTGCGTGACGAGCGGACGCTTTAACCACTAGGCTACCCCACCTTCCCCAATGTGGGAATAAGGATGCAAATGTCTGTTGAAGATGTCCCTGCCCTTGACCGCTACAAGAGAGGAGATATTTGGTGTTACGGGATGATCATGGCATTCCTCGTTACTGGGCAGAAACCCTTCGCCAACTTTATGACGGAAGACATTGATAGATCGGACCTGGAAGGAACTGGGGTAACTCCAGTTCGCCTTCCCCACAACCTCCAGCCCGAACTGAGGGTCATCATAGAGAGCTGCAGACAGGTCAAGGCTGAGGACAGACCGACTGCACAGGTGTTGCTGAGAAAGTATGACAAAGGTATCAAGAGAAATTTATGGTTAATGCATACTTGGACTTCAGTCATTTAAGAACACCCTCAAATTTTAAATCATATTTTTATGATTTTTTAAGATTTCAAAGGGACCATATGAATGTTTTGAAGTTCTGAATGCATGAATCAAATGTGCATCAAATCCTAAATCATATTTATGTTTTAAGATTTGAGGGAGTTCTTGAATGTTTGAAGCCCAAGAATGCATCAAATCCTTAACCATATGTATGTTTTAAGATTTGAGGGTGTTCTTGAATGCTTGAAGTCTAAGTGAGCATCAAATCCTAAATCATTTATGTTTTAAGTCCAAGTATGGATCAGCCTTATCTCTCCGAATTTAATCTTAAATCATATGTTTGTGTTACCCGTGATGATAGGGATAGGGAATTCGATATTTATATATCGCACATATCTACACAACTAGTACATGCTCAAGGCGCTGGATCCGAGATGAATATATCTTAAGCAACCCATGCTTATCGTCAGAGGAGATTATGATATCGGGTGGTCAGGCTCGCTGTCATGTCGCCGTATCCCATTTGGGTAGATTGATGATCATGTTGTTGATCACTGGATTGTCTGATCCAGACTCGATTATTTACAACCCTCCGTCATAAAGCTGGAATATTGCTGGGTTAAACAACAAGCAAACATCAAATGTATGTTTCTAAATTGCCATACCCACCCACACACACACACCCCTAAAATTTATGTACCAAAAAGTGACCCCACTCCATATCATGTACAAAATCAATGACCCCCCCCCCCCTTCCCTCCCATAATTTCTAAACATAATTTGAAACATATATTTATGTACGAAATTGCTGACCCCCCGTGTGTACAAAATTGCTGACCCGCTAGCTCCTCTGAACAAAATTGCTGACCCCCCTTTAAATCACACACACACACACACACACACACACACGCCATAAAATATGAACGGTCCCTTACGTCACGTCGCAATGAAGATTCATGTCTTGCAGGAGAAAGGAGACAGAACAAATACGGATAGTCTGACCGCTTTACAGAATTTACGCATTACAGCATGTCAAAGACATTTCCCCGTCCTTTTGACGTATTCGCAACGTATTCAGCGCAATAGATCATACAGTCACTTCTCATCGTCTCACTCACTCACCATATTGTTTATTCTAGAAATGAAAGAAACGTTTCTGAAGTCGCCCGAAGAGCAGGAATTCTTCACGTGTGCCTTTATGCACAAGACTGACATCTTTGTTGCCGATTCATGTGTATCTGAGGCAAGATTCCTATTTTCACAAATATTTTTGTAAAAAGAAATTGTGCATCTCTTAGAATTAACATAAATATTTTTGTCTGTGAACCCAAGAAGAGAAACGACAGCATCGCAAAAGCACTTAAATATTTATAACTATTGTTTTACAGTGAATATTACTGGAATAGCTTATCCTCTTGACGATATGGGGTCAGTGGATGTCGATTAACGGACACTGAGGAAAATTCATAAACTGGTTTGTCTGGTCCAGACTCGAACATCCACGAGACATTGTAAAGTCGATGCATTGCTGAAAGTGGCCTTATGCAACCGTCAGTCGATCTGATGTATTCTTATATTGTCTGGGGCGGTGGGGTAGCCTAATGGTTAAAGCGTTGGCTCGTCACGCCGAAGACCCGGGTTCGAATCCCCACATGGGCATAATGTGTGAAGCCCATTTCTAGTGTCCCCCGCCGTGATGTTGCTGGAATATTGCTAAAAGCGGCGTAAAACCAAACTCAGTCAGTCAGTCTTATATTGTCTAATACGAGACACGCTAAAACCCAAATAATATATAAATGTGTCTCCACGTAGCACGCTGAAGGATTTTTCAAGACCAGGATTCGACCACAAGGATACGACCACTCGTTTCTCCTGTGTCCTGTGCAGACTGAGGATGCTCCGTATCACCCGACTCCACCTTCAGATGAATGGGACCATTTCACAGCATACAACGATAGTTATGCTGAGTTTAGAAAGAAGGCCAGGAAGAAGGAGATCGATGACAACCCATTTGTATCCCTGAAGGGTTTGAATATCGCCAGACCAGGAGCCGAGGAAATCCAGCTCCTGGAGCTCAGGTTAGATTGTCTTTTCGGGTCAACTCGGCATATTCCGTACTACGCAATCCATTCGTCACCACTCGCCCCTTTCCGTAACTGAATAGCGGCTTGACCCGTAACACGAGCTGGTATACATTCGCTCTCTGAATATAATATAATTTTGTCTGAAACACATAATTCTTTTTAAATTAATAAGGAGCCCAAGTGAGATGGGAAAATCTCGACTTGCTCCATTACAAATAATGTGGTTCAGGGACTGTAAGACAGACCAGTAACAGCCGTGAATGACACCATTCGTCACCACTCGCCCCTTTCCGTAATTTCCAATAAGAGCCTTTTAGCTTGTCCCGGAATAGCACCTGTACAGTGCCTCAGGCGGCAAATTAGTAGTGATGTCACATGAAGTCGAAGTATTAGTTTGTTCCTGCCACTGGCCCCTATGTCAAGGTATTCCCATATTTAAAAGCCATCCGTGTGTGTTTTAACTAATCTGACGGTTCAGTTTACTAAAATGCGACTCGAAAGTAAATTTATCACCGTCAAACGTAGAAATAACAATGCGTTGTCACCTGACAAATAACATTGCCTACCCAAATTACGTCCAGTAAAGTGGCATTCTTAGAAATAAGGCGCATATAGAAAGGAATTCATGTATTGGAAAACTGTGCATTTACACAAGTCCAATGTTCCAGTTAGTGTGATATACATTTATTCGTAGTATGTCCGGGTCAACGAAACGTAAAGGAATCCAATTATTACTTGACACAGAAGATATACAACTGGGAAACTGTAATGTGTTGGCAAAACTGCTGCTTGATCAGCAATATTCCACCTATATGGTCAGGACCAGATCTAACCGGATCTTCACGGGTTTTGCCAACCCACTTCACTCACGAACACTGTTAGACCCGATTTATTTAAAACCTACCCCCGATCCTTAAATCCGGTTTCACCTCTACACAGGTATGTCCAGTCGACCTACTGCCACCACCGAGCTATGAGGGAGGTCTGGATGAAGGAATTGACCCCAACGGAGCGCCATGTGGAGGTGCCCTGCAAGGCCATCGTTCACCCTTTCTATAGCACGTCCTTTGGCCTTCATGTGGCTATCCTGACCAATGAGGGACCGGACAAACACCAAAAGTTCATTTTCTGTCGCAGGGCAAGACGTGCAGGTAAACAGTGAGGCTCATGGAAATGTATTAATAGGAAATGGACAGGGGACGGGCTTGTGTGTGCGTCCGTGTGCGTGTGTGTGTGAGATCAGACCAATCCGAGTTGCATTACCTCAATACACAGCACCGAGGAGGGTAACAACCTGTGTCATCTTTTGACCCCCTGGGTATGAGGGGCGGTGGGGTAGCCTAGTGGTTAAAGCGTTCGCTCGTAACACCGAAAACCCGGGTTCGGTTCCCACATGGGTTCAGTGTGTGAAGCCCATTTCTTGTGTCCCCGGTCGTGACATTGCTGGAATATTGCTAAATGCAGCGTTAAACTAAACTCACTCACTCATTTGGTATGACGTAGTCACGGATCGCATTACTACCCAATTGCTACCCGGGATGATTTGCGGATCTTTGTAGGAAATGAAATTGCAGGTAAAAACGAAAGAATTGTTTTATCATTTTAGGTGTCTCAAGCCCCGGTGTCCTCACATGTGGAGCTGTAGAGAGCTGCTCAATCAACGATTTCGTTGATGCACCGGAAGGTGATGGTAAACGGGTTGATCTGCTCAAAACTGCCGCTAGAGGTCTCCACGAAGAGCTAGGTTTGGAACTGACCGGAAGTGACCTCGATGCCATTACCCTTAATACCGTGTACCTCAAGTTTGACACTCACGAATGGGGGATGTGTGGATTTGTGGATCTCACTGATGACCGGATCAGCCAGGACCATTCGATCAGTGGTCAAAACCTGGAAGCGAGATTTCTGGGTGGAGCCAAGGACAAATTTGAACATGATGCCATTGTGAAAATTGATTTCCAACTGGACACCATGGTCGATTTTGTCTTTGAGAAACACCATGAATTTGCCAGTTCCGCGAAGCTGGTAGTTGTGAAAGTTCTTCAGGCGTTTTTTGGCGTTGATGCTGTCCAGCGAGCATTTGAGTTGAAAGGGGAGTAAAATTGCATACGGTATGACTCGGGTTCAAATCACTCCGGTCAGCAACTGATTAAATATACTGCACGATTTAACCCTGATTTTCATACTGAAGAACAAAACGAACGATATTTTTCGGGTCGGCCCGAGTCCACATCATTCCGGTTTTCAACTGATTAAATATTCTGCACGATTTGCACGATCTAACCATGATTTTCATTCCGTGCAACATAACGACCGATTTTTTCGGGTCGACCCTGGCCCACATCACATCATTTAATTAAATGGACTGCATGATAGAGGTGGGTATTGCAGGGAATTGTCGTATTGCGATATATTGCGATGCGAAAGCATGTATTGCGATATGTATTGCAATATATTGCAAGAATTATTTTTAACAAAAAAACCTACTTATAATCGAGTTAATGCTTGATTTCTATAGCAAGAACACAACAAAATCACAATGCTTGACTAGGCTTCGATAAAAACTTTTAATCATGATAAAATAAAAATGTAAATAATGTTTGGCACAAATGAAACAAGGAAAGGAACGATTTAAAATACGGAAATATCCGAAGATTTCCGAGTGTTACGAAGTTTTCCGAAGGCATGTCCAAATATCGGTTTTCGATCAGCGTATCGCAATACGTATCTTTTTCATGTCTGAACCGGTAAATACCGGTAAACCGGTTATATTGCGCAGCCCTACTGCACGATTTAACCGATTTTGATAAAAGCCTTTTCGTTTACAATTTGGCATTGAATAACATCTACATAAGCAACACGTCAGATGTAAAGCTGATAGCCACGTGGACTAGTGAAAGTGTCCCAATATAGAATCCTTCAATTCTCCCCGACAAGAAAAGCAGGGTGATTGAGATGACAATGTGTTAACCCCTCGTGGTTTAAACGTACGTCTTACGTACCCAGTTAGTATAATATCAACAGTTTCGGGGTTAATAATTCTATATGGAACTAGGTCAGGCGAAATAACATTACAACATAACATATAAGCATTACCAACGCCTCCCACTCAAGCAGTTGCAACTGTACGTACAAGCAACGATAGCCTATTGTCGAGATTACTATTAATACCCGTGTCTCTCCCAACTTTCCGTGCCCATATTCCATTAACAAAGAAATAATAACGGCGAGTCAAGACTTATTTCCTTTATTACATTCAGAGGTATTCTGAGATTAACATGAATGTACGCCAGGTGTAATCAATACGAGTTTGTTACGATTGAGATGTGTTTGTACCATAATTCACATGATAGTTCTTGTATTTTCTTAGTTCTTAATCAATTTATCTAAAACCGATAACATATTTCTGTCGATTTATCCTGTAATTGTGTCAACGTCAACTACTGGATAAAAGAACGTACACGTGAGACAATTCCTTATTGAGACAAAACGAGACAAAACGATATTGAAATGTTACATGTCTGAAAACGGTTATCGAAACGCTGTAGACTTGAGTGAGTGAGTGAGTATGGTTTGACACCGCTGTTAGCAATATTCCAGCAATAGGCTCAAAACACGACCGTGATACCTGTATCAAATACTTGATCATGGAATAACCATTTTCGCTTGTTTTGTTATAACCTGCATCAAACTTGAGGTTTAACTTACTTTTGTTCAGGATTTTAGTTATGAGTTTTGTTTGTCCATTGGTCAATTAATACATTCGCTCGTCACTTTGAAGGCTCGAGTTCGATTCCCGACATGGGTACAATGTATAAAGCATTTCTGTTGTCCTCCGCCGTGATTACAAGAATATTGCTAAAAGCAGCGATTCACTCACTACTGATCTACAACTATATGACGCGTTTTGAAAGATCGAGGGGCGGTAGGGTAGCCATGTGGCTAAAGCGTTCGCTCGTCACGCCGAAAGCCCGGGCTCGATTCCCCACGTGAGTACAATATGTGAAGCGTATCTTCTGGTGTCCCACGCCGTGATATTGCTGGAATATTGCTAAAAGCGGCGAAAAAACAAATTCACTCACTCACTCACTCACTTGAAAGCTCAATGTTACTTAATTATCATGCAGGTTTCAATTAATATTTGTTTACTTTTCCAATGCATAATATGGCGGATCTTTTACACCAAGTTGCAGACCTTTATTTAAATGTGTTTTTACATTTGAAATCTATATGCCTAACAGTTTGAAACTTCTCACGTCGTTTAATAGCTGATGAAAATGATATTTTGGCCTGTTCCAAACAAACTTTAGTTTATTATGGCCCATATTTAGTTTTTGGAAAGTTTTTGAAATATATATGAACCTACATCAATTATTAATCTCACGTTAATCAACCCCGAAATCACACTATTCCTCTTAGTGAACATTTAGATAAATGTAATGGCAAGTTCAAAGTTTTCCTGAATTATAAACTCAATTATAGCAATGATAATGTTTTATTCTTGAATTTAATAATATTTTATTCATAAATATGCGCCAAAATGGAATGGCAAAACATGATTTTCAGTACATGATACTATGCTATTGTTGCTATACTCATTATGACGTCATAGGTCCTTGTGTGACGTCATATTGTTACAGAGTGTGTTAGTTACTGCATAAACGACCTGAGGAATCAGGTACAAACTGCACCTGCTGAAAACTTTTGCCAAACTTATTTCAACTTCATCTTCTTATTACCAGCACACACTCCTTCCAGTACACAAATCAAATGGTTGGTCCCCATGTTGACAACAGTTTGCTGTGTGTTTTGACGTTCTGTGTGTAACGTTGGTCATGTTACCATCTACTTTGTTTCTGTCGGTTTTACTTCGTTGGGGTCACGATGAAGGTGAGCCAGATACCATTTTAATTACGCCCTTATTGGTCAGTTATTAAACATGAATGGTGATTTTTTTCTAGAATCAAATTCACACTTCTATACCATGGGATTTAACTTCACTTCTGTACTATATACAAATTCCTTAAAAACTGCAAACTTTAATCAAAAGTTTTGGCATCATTAGACAGACAGATTTGAAATTGATCAGTGAAATGTTTATGAATATGAATCCTATTCCTCATAGCCGGCACACCTTCATATTGTCTGTTATCTACTTTATATTTCTACCTTGATTGTAATACTTTTCACGCGTGGTGTATTTATTTTCCTGGAGCGGTATATATATATGTCGTAAGTCTTGTTTACCAATACAGTCTGTGTACAGGTTAAGGATAATAAAAAATGTTTAAACCATTTTGCTTGTTACTCCTGGTCTTCCACCAACATGACATAAGGGACGCGACTTGTACAGATAGTAGTGAGTAACTCTCAGAGTGCGTGAGTGAGTTTAATTTTACGCCGCTTCTAGCAATATTCCAGCAATATCACGGCGGGGGACATCAGGAATGGGCTTCACACATTATACCCGTGTGGGGAATCGAACCCGGGTGTTCGGCGTGACGAGCGAACGCTTTAACTACATGGCTATCCCACCGGTAACTCACAGAAATTTCCCTTCACGATTAAATGACTTGTTATTATTGCAGTAATTTCATCAATTATCTACACACACACACACACACACACACACACACACACACACACACACACATACATACGTACGTAAACATGTTTTATGCTTATGATTCACAAGGACAAGGAAGCTTGCAAACATGTTTTGGCTTACATGATAATTCAATGAAGTCTGATGCAATTCCCTATTTTGACTTCTGCAATATGGTCTAGTGCCTTTTCAGGTGAACGATTTACTTGCCTTTGCGTGTGTTTGTGGCGAATACTACCAATGTGGCACGACACGCACACACTCTCGCGAACACATGGTGTCAACACCTTTTGATAATGCAATGATATAGTCGGACTCGTTCAATCGACGCTCAATCGATTTCTCATGGTTATGTACAGGGTTTTGTTGCTTTTATTCACTTAATTTGATTCAACACCTCTCGAAAACAATTTGTTTTGTTGAAACACGTGTGAGCCGCCCACAACTGGTTATACGTCCTTGTAGAAAATATCCCATCCTTGAAAATTAAAGTTGAAAAGTGCAAATGCATGTTGATTTGGAAGTAGACCCGAACGCAAGTATTTCTCATTTCCGCCATGCTTTTCATTCTCATTCTTACCAAACCCATGCAGTGTATATTCACATAAAAGAATTCAATTCATAAGATTGACTTCTGTTGAGTCAAAAGTTATAAGCTTCCTTTGTAATGCTTTGGGCTTTTGTTCAACTTCAGCCATTGTAACCTTGGACCGTTAGTTTGTTCTGATTAATTATCACGTGACACTTTCATTGAAGATAATGTGCACGTGCCATTCACGTGGGTGGACAGATTAAAGATTTAGTTTACAAATATATCGATTCCGAAACAAAAGCGTATTGTTGAGTCGTTGGAGGCCGTTTCCGAGATAATGGTGAAGCAATGTTCAAATACCGCCTCGCAAAATCACGTTCCATCCTTTCATTAGTCTACTTTCCCTTTAACAAATCACTATATCAGTCCGGTGCGAAACACCTACGTCACACTTACACTCCAAACAATACCTCCGCGCCATGGTACACAATTATATGCGAAAAATGCATCATCAGCAACAATATCTCACATGAGGGTATCAATTGGACGTGACGTCTTTGCTGAATTATTTAAAACTTTGGTTGTAACTTCAAACCCTTGTGGACCATTCATATTGGCATACTTTCCCCCAAAGCGTAAGTCAGTCCCAACTGACGTCACTAAGCATGGTGTTTACCCGTGTAATATAGTATCTTCCTTAGATCGTGGAGACCATTGCAAAAGAAGCAGAAGTTTCACTTTTGAAGTTTTTGTCAAAGTATAGTAGGTGGGTGTCACTGTAACCAATACGGCAATCTGCATTTATCTGTTAAATTTGAGTATTTTCGTTCTGTAAAAAGGAGCGTTCCCAACTATACGCCACATTTCTCTATGGGAAGAGGAAGCATACATTTCATTAGCATTCAAGATGGTCGATGATGCATTGCAAATGTGAGGATGGCTTTTGAAATGGTCCTCTTGGGAATGAATCAAGGACATTACTTTTAGAAAAAGATCATCGTCTATTATTCCTAACCATTTGTGAATTTGAAACCATTTTTAAAACAAATACATTTTATTGTTCCTGGATGTCGGTCGCATAAATGTTATATCAGTGGACAAGAGAGTGCTTATATCAGTCCATATGGTCCTTTA